TGAGTCAGCTCTTTGCATCAGGTGGCCAAAGTATTGGGAGTTTCAGCTTCAGCATCAGTCCTTTCAATGAATATTCAGGACTGATTTCCTTTAGGATGAACTGGTTGGATCTCCTTAGTGAAACTAAATGTAATTTTGTTCTGTATTTTCCCAAGTCTCTTGTAAATGCATTATCATACTTTCATAATTTTAAAAATAAAAATAAAATAAATACCTTTAAAAATGTTTTCAAAAAAGGATTTTGTCTGGGATCTATTTATTCATTACCAGATCTGGTAATTAACAAATGCTTTCAAGTAATGAGAGGAATGAAGATGCAGGTGGGAGTGAGAGCAAAACACTTACGCATAAAAATTGAATTTATTCCCTCAACCAACTCAAGCTATAAGGGTTAAGCTGTAAGGTAGGAACTCAAGCCATAAGGTTTAAAATAACTACATCACCAGGAATAGCCTGAGAACAGATGGCACCTGAATCCAGCTTCCAATGCCCCAACTAACCAGGTATGTTTATTCTGAAATTTCGAGCCCTCCCAGCAGGCAGGGGTTAGTACCAGTTTTAAAATTAAGAAGGAAAAAGGCTGTAAATTTTTAAGGGATACGATTTCTTTCTTTTACTCTTGGATGCTTGCTGTATTTATCTAAGGCAAAGATGTGTGTTTTTCTTTTTGCCTTTGAGGATATGGCATTTACAAATGCTCACTCAGATGTCAATGCTCATGTTGAAAAAGAGAGGTGTTCCCTTAATTTCCAAGTAAGTGATTAGCATGAACGAGACAGTTCAGTTCATCCCTCAGAGGATGAATCAAAAGTAAGACTAAGCAAAAAACCTCTAATAACTCAACAAGAAAATTAACAAAGATACATCAAAGAATGATGTTAGAGAGTATTCAGGCATGTGCTAGAAAACACACACACACTCATACACACACACACACAGACACACACATATAAAGTTAGCAGGAAGCAATTTAAATTACTTTAAATAGTGATCCATGGAGTCAATGCAATTAATTTGGAAATTTAATTCTTGGCCTTTAGGGAGGTACTAACAGTTGAACAGTAGATTATCTCAAAAAGGAGGTTGAAAGACTAGCATGCTCAGCAGGGAATAACCAGGAAGAACCATGTGGATATGTTCATAGCACGGAATTGAGAACTGGAAAGCAAGTTTAGAAATCAGTCTGCCTCCTTCTCCATAAAGAGATCATTCTCCAAGTCCCCAACTGTAGGAACTAAGTCTAACTTACAGACTGTAGGGATTAAATATCTTCTGCTAAAATCTGTCATGGTATCTTTGATGGAAGAAGAAAGGATGGAGCATGGATACCAGGGCTGGTGCCAGACCCTGGGGAAACTGAACAGAAGTAGCATGTTCTCAGACTCAATTTCCTGATTGTAAGTTTGGGGGAAAGATGCCTGAATTGCCCAGGTGGCAATGACAATTAAAGACTAATGTCTAGGAGCGCTCTCCTAAACCTAGCCCTAAGTGACTCGGCCACACAGAGGCCCGTGTGTCCACACGGTCAGGTACACAGTGACCCCATGACCACCTGCTAGCCACGGCTTTAGAGTCATTTCGCATGCAAGAGCCTTGACAATAAAGGTCAAAACCTCTGATAGTGAAATTCAATTCCTACAATCCCCCCTTTCGCAAGATTCTACACACTGTAATCACAAGAGGGTTCGTTTGCTCATTCATTTAACAAGCATTTCTCAAAGTCCATGTTTGATCTGAATCAGGTAGGGATGCACTGCAGGGTGGATGGATGTAAGTGAGGCATCGGCCAGTTCTGTCCGTTATCTGAAAGGAGCAGCTTTGACACAAACACCACACTCACCTGAGCTATGACGTCAGAGATTGAGGCACATCCGACCAGGAAACTGTATTTGTGTTTTAAGAGAATGCCAGCATGGGTCCATGCCTGCCGGGAAGGAGAGATTTGGGCATGAGACACATTCAGGATTAGGTTACTTCTAGTTCTTATGAGTTTCTGGGTGTTCTTGAAATAGACTTTATACCCACCCACCTCCCAACCTTAGTAGCACAAGTTTAATGAATCTTTGATTGATAGGATGCTTGTAACTTAACCTGGTATCCAGGACCAAGTGAGGTTGTTTTTTTTTCCCCCAATTATTTTTATTAGTTGGAGGCTAATTACTTTACAATATTGTAGTGGTTTTTGCCATACATTGACATGAATCAGCCATGGATTTACATGCTTTCCCCATCTTGAACCCCCCTCCCGCCTCCCTCCCCATCCCATCCCTCTGGGTCATCCCAGTGCACCAGCCCCGAGCACCCAAGTGAGGTTTTTAAGCGGAACCAGCGACCACATAGCATTTGTTTGGTGCCAATTATCTGAAGACTAGTGTACTGGTTCATGGGCTTGGCAGGAAATCTGGGTGAATACCAGGAACGGGGACCAGTGTGAATCACAAGCCACAGCTTTCTGGTCTGTGACGCGGGTTCCAATGAGGACTCAAAACGGTCTCTGAGTTGCTGCGGTCAGCACAGGCTCCCACTGACTGATCAGGGTCCTGCTATTTCCTTCTCTGTAAGTTTGGGCAGGATCTGATCTGACACTTTGTGCCTTTGAGGGGAATTAAGAGGAAGGTGCTAGAAAGCCTGCAGACAACGAAAAGCCCAGGGAATGGCAGGTTTGGAGAAGGTTTGAAGTTCAAAGTAGGATCTGTTTCAGTATCATCTTTCTAACTAGTAAAGGTCAACCTGAACTGACACAGAAATAACATTTCACGTGCGCTAAACAGTGTGAGCAGATATGAACTAAACACATGCAGACCTAGGGAATAACCTAGGTCGGTGTCAAGACTATACAACTGTGGCTACCACCACTTCCTCCTCAGCTCACAGGTCCCAAGGAGCCAAATATGAAAAGAAAGGCAGTGTAGATGACATTTGTAAATTGTGGCTTGTGGCCTCACTTTACTGACTGAAAGTTATCTGGATGATAAGCTTCAAAAATATTCTCTCTCCAACTAATACATCAGGGCCATGCTGTAGGGTGTGTGTGTGTGTGTGTGTGTTTGGGGGAGATGTTGTGTATTATTTTGGTCTTTATCAGTAATCTCTTATTACTGGTCTTTTGGGGGAGTGAGTTGGTAGATGAAATATGGAAGAAAAGAGTGCTGATCACAAATGTTTTGAGTTTTGGGAACTTCTGAGGCAAGTAAGTTACAGAAAGGACATGGTACACAGGGCACAAAAGAGTCTGTGGGTCACTTTGGTCCTGAGTTCCCTGATAATTGTAGTTCTTCTATGTGTTTGCAGAGTCCCAGTGCAGATAGCAGGAAGGGCATTAGGGTGGAATCTCAGACTCTGCCTAGGAAGCTGGGTTTTCACTCTCTTAGGCTATCACCCCATTCAGTTCTCTCACTGCTTTGAGGGCACTGTGGGGCCACCTCAGTCCAGTCTGGGCCCTGTGGGGACTCTGCTTCCACACACCCCCAAATCCTTGGCCTTTTTCTTTTGGAGGCAGGGGGCACAGAGGTGGAAGGTATGTGTCAGCTACCAGAGTAAACACACCTGGTGATAAGTAAGAAAAAGAAAATCCAGGTACAAGTGTTCCAATGGCCAAATTCTTAGCCTAAAGTGATGTCAGGACAACTGAAAATAAGAACCTTTGGTGGAAACTGAGGGTTTAGTATCTAAGGCTCCCCCACACTGCTAGGAAGCCGTCAGATTCAGTGAGGTTGTGCCCATTAACCCAGCTGGGGGTACAGTGAGACTTCTGATGACATTTGAGAGGATGGACCACATGCATTTATATTAGTACCTTGCCTCCTTCCTCTGAGGATTTGGGGCTGCAGCCTTAACTTTGACACAGAGGTATACTCACCTCACACATCTAAAGTATATAGAACTGGAGGAGAGGGGTGGTTAAACAAAACAAAACAAAACCAATATAGCTGTAAAATCAAAGGCCATCTTCTTAAAAGAAGTGCCTTGTTGCATGCTAATGATTTGTGTTTACTTTCATGTATGTCTAAAATTTTTCATAATAAAAAATTCTTAAAAACTAAAAAAAAAAAACCTATACAGATGATCATATTTTAAAGTTTTCTTCCAAGGGTAATTTAAAATGGATCCCAAAGAAAGGGTTTATTTTCCACCATTAGCCATTATGAGAGATATATGTATATGTGTGTGTGTATATATATATATATACACAAATATATATATATATATATATATATCTTTTGCTAAGTCTCTTTTATATCTACAACACAGATGAATAGGAAAAAAGCATTCTTTGAGAACTCTTCAGTATCAGGAAAAAGAATTTAATCTATGGAAGCGAGTCATCCTTAGCTACTCTAGCAAAGCTGGTTATTAAAGTAATAAAGCCTTATCAGTATATTCAAGTGAGTCTTATTGTAAAAAGCTTTGGGTGCTTATACCACACAAGTGGTAAGTTTATCTGAAAGCTATCCTGATCTCTTGAGCCTGAATAGATCAGAAAAGAATTTATATTTGAATCAAATTTTCAAGGGAGCTCTCTTGTCTCCTGCCAGAACTTGTGGCAAATACAGACAATTCTCATAAAATAAACTGACAAGATGGACTGGTTAAAAGTCAATGAATGGTCAGCTGGAACCCTTCCGCACAGCTAGCGGAGAGGTAAAACAGTGCAGCTGCTCCATCAGTATGATGGAGCCTCAAAAACTTAAAAACAGAATTATTATATGATTTAGCAATTCCTCCTATGGGTATACACTCAAAAGAATTACAGCAAGAACTCATAGGGATATTTGTACACTCATCTTCCTAGTGGCAGTATTCATAGCAGACAAATGTGGAAATAACCCAGATGCCCATGGATGGATGAAAGGATAAACAAAATACGGCTTATACACACAGGAAATATTATTCAGCCTTAGAAAAGGACATCCTGACACAGGCTACAACATGGGTGAACCCTGAAGATATTCTGTGAAGTGAAATAAGCCAAACAGCCACAAAAAGACAAATACTGTATCATTCTATTCGTGAGGTACCGAGAGTAGTTGAGTTCACAGACATAGAAGTGACAGTGGTGGGTGCCAAGCACTGGGGAGGGTGGGGAGTTAGTGCTCAGTGGGGAGGACGGAGAGAGCTGAGCGTGGACGGTGGGGATGGGAGAAGAGCAATGTGAAAGCACCCAAGGCCACTCAACTGCACTTAACAACGGCTCAGATGGGAAATTTCACGTTATATGAAAATTCCTCCAGTGAGAAAAGTGTGGAGGGCAGTGAAGAGAGCCTCAAGGGTGTTGATCATTTTGTAGGGAGTTCAGTTTAGTCGTTCAGTCGTGTCTGACTCTTTGCAACTCCATGGACCACAGCTCATCAGGCCTCCCTGTCCATCACCAACTAATGGGGTTTACTCAAACTCATGTCCATTGAGTCGGTGATGCTATCCAACCATCTCATCCTCTGTTGTCCCCTTCTCCTCCTGCCCTCAATCTTTCCCAGCATCAGGGTCTTTTCCAATGAGTCAGCTCTTCGCATCAGGTGGCCAAAGTATTGGAGTTTCAGCTTCANCACCCAGGACTGATTTCCTTTAGGATGGACTGGTTGGAGCTCCTTGCAGTCCAAGGGACTCTCAAGATTCTTCTCCAACACCACAGCTCAAAAGCATCAATTGTTCGGCACTCAGCTTTCTTTATAGTCCAACTCTCACATCCATACATGACTACTGGAAAAACCATAGCCTTGACCAGACAGACCTTTGTTGGCAAAGTAATGTCTCTGCTTTTTAACATGCTGTCTAGGCTGGTCTTAACTTTCCTGCCAAGGAGTAAGCAGATCTGTTGTAGGGAGTAAGTGGACCCATTTCCATTTCCGGATTGCCAGGGGTTGGGGAAGGGGTGGATGGGGAGTCAGTGTTTAACGGGAGTAGAGTCAGTATCCCAGGATGAAAAGAGTTCTGAAGATTCACAACAATGTGACTATACTATACGCCATTGAACCGCACACATAAAAATGGTTAAAATGGTATGTTTTAGGTTATGTATTTTTTACCATAATTAAAAAAAAAAAGTGCCGACGATCTCCCCTACTCACCATCGCATCCATAAAAGGGAAGGCAGCAAGATACAGGAAGGCCCTTCTTGTTTTGTTCCCCACTGATTCGTCCACATGGTGCAATTTATTGATGATGTAGTAGCCCAGGTCACTATATGCTGCAAACAAAATACACGGCGATAGTTAGAAAAAGTTGTCCTTATGAGCCTTTTATCTCAAAAGTTTAAAAACAGTTTTAAAGATAATATCTTTTTTTTTTTGGTAAAAAAAATTCTAGGTAAGCAAAAGGATGAAAATCATCTACAGTCTCATCCATCCTTCTGCCCAGAAGGGGTCACAGTCGACACTCTGGGTGTTAATCATGCAGGTGTTTTATGGGTGTTATGTGGTGGAGTATGCGTGGGTGTTTCAACACAAAAATGGCATCATACTACATACATACTCTTTTGTGAACCATAAACATCTCTCCATAACATGCTTCTGTATTTGATTGGTTGTGCTGAATTTTGCAGGTTTATTTATTATCACTTGCTCAATCTCCTATTATTATATATTTAGGTTGCTTCCATTCTTTTGATGTTATAAAAGAATGCTTGGTGGCTAGTTTGAAAGCTCAGTGCCTATGTAATTGTTGTTTAGTTGCCAAGTCATGTCTGACTCTTTTGCTAGCCCATGGACTCTAGCCCACCAACCTCCTCTGTTCATGGAACTTCCCAGGCAAGAATACGGGAGTGGGTTGCCATTTCCTTCTCAAGGGATCAAACCTGCATCTCCTGCATTGGCAGGGGGGTTCTTTACCACTAAGCCAGCAGGGAAGCCCTCAATGTCTGTAGGTATTCTAAATTATTTACTAAGAGAAAATTCCTATGTGTTAATATGCCTTTTCTTTTTTCTTTATTAAGTTTAATGAATCTACGACATTATGCTACTTCCAGGTGTACAACACAGTGATTCAACAAAACATGGCTTTTCAATAAAAATTTAAAGGTAGCTATTCACTGTTTGTAATTCCTTTTGTTTCATTTTTCCCAGGAAGGCAAAAATTGTGGGGGGTGGAAACTGTGGGTATAGTTTGCCCAGTGGAAAAATGCTGTCTCTGTGCTTTGCAAGTCCCTCCAATGTGAGGATTTGGGACCAGTGTGTAGCTAGAACATAAAGGGCTTTAATCAACAAAGGCTGAATGAATGTGTACGTGTCAAAGGGTGAAAAAGGTAGAAAGAGAAAAATTTCATAATGTATGAACTAAGCACTCTGACACTGATTTGTGTGTGTGTGTATGTGTTATTTGTCCATGACTCGTTGTGACCCCATGGACTGTGGCTCTCCAGGCTTCTCTGTCCATGGAATTCTCCAGGCAAGAATACTGGACTGGGTAGCCATTCCCTTCTCCAGGGGATCTTCCCAACCCAGGGATCGAACCTGGGTCTCCTGCACCACAGGCAGATTCTCTACCATCTGAGCCACCAGGGAAGCCCCATGACATTTTAGTAAAGGTTAAATAAAATATTGACTATTTTCTACCTCATTGATACAAAGTTTAGACTATCTAGGAAAACAATAATCTTTGTGTTTTCATAGTGTTTTACATAGTGCTCTAATAGTAGGGTTCCTGCTGTGTTCACTCATTCATTAATATGAATATTTATGTACTTGAGAAGTGCAGAAGCTGCTTTGAAATCAGAAAGGAGGTCAAATGCAGGGTCTCTCTTACTTTTTTGTGAAACAACCAGAATCCCTTCCTCTATTTCAAAGTGTGGGGAACGATTTGTTACTATTTGTTGTTGTTGTTCAGTTGCTAAGTTGTTTCTGACTCTTTGTGGGTTTATTACCATATTAATTGGTAAAAAGAAATAATCCTCCATCTTTTGTCGGGATTAGCCTGGAATCATGAGGATGTTGAATTAAGCATGCTCTTCAGGATGAAAACAAAGATATTTAAATTCACAACTGTGAATCCCAGTGGGAGTGAGGTATGAGTAAGTGATTTCAAGAGGCACGGGGCTAAGATGACTGAGTCATACAGAGAACAGGGCTGGTGAGGGAGGCAGATGCAGGACAGATCTGAATCCCAGAGGAGGAGCCGAGGTGGAAACCAAAAGGCGAACTGCCAGCTGAGCCCAGGTGTCAGGTGTGGAGCGTGGTGGGGCCAGTAGAACCACTGAGGCAACAGGAAGGGAAAACCAGGAGGAGGCTGGCACTTGGCAGAAAGAACAAAGAAGGGAGAAGTGGGATTAGTTATGAGCAGGGATCAGGGAGGCAGCTGTGATGTCCTGCTTGGATCAGAAGGTACGAAGGTGACCTGACCCTCTGAGGCAGGGAGGGAGCCCTCCAGCCCCACTTTGCAGCGAGGTGAGAAGTGCATTCAGATCTGAGATGAGCCGATGAAACCTGAAGCCGGGATGAAGATGTTACTGAACCACACACACGGCTTACCGTGAGTGCTGAGACTTGGAAATCATGGCCCTGTTGATCTGTACATGCCTTTTCACTGCCGGTCAAGTTCACTGTGTGGAGATTCCCCAAGAGATGTCCTGATTCTGGCCCCCTTGCCCCTCCTGGCAGAGGCAGCTGCCAATGGTAAAGGCAGCCACGCTGGGCAAACAGAGCCGTGCCAAGTGCAGGAGCGCAGGGCTGGCTATGAATAGCTCAGGAACTAAAATTCCCTGGTAAAGGTTAGAGCTGATATAAATGCCAGCTGAGCGGACCTGACTGGATGGCCAAAGTGGGGACCTTGAGACCGGAGAAAGGCTGAGACTCAGAGGGTGATGTATGGGTTGACCTCTGTCCCCTCACAATTCGTTTGTTGACTCCTAGCCCTTAGGACCTCAGAAGGTGACCTGATTTGGCCTCAGGATCTTCGCAGGTATAATTAGTGAAGGTCGAGTGGCGCTGGGGCTTCCCTGGTGGCTCAGATGGTAAAGAATTCGCCTTTAGTGCAGGAGACTCGGGTTCGATCCCTGGGTGGGAAAGATCCCCTGGAGAAGGAAATGGCAACCCACTCCAGTATTCTGACCGGAAAATCCCATGGACAGAGGGGCCTGGTGGGCAGCAGTCCGTGGGATTGAAGATTTGGACATGACTGAGCGACCAAGCACACGCGTGCAGGGTGACGCTGAGGACAGTGGGCTCCCAGCCCAAGGCGCCTGGTGTCCTAAGTGGGGAATTTGGAGACCTATGGAAATGTGCGCAAGGACAAGGTCATGAGACCATCAAGGCAGAGATCAGGGAGATGCCTCCTCAAGCCAAAGGACACTACATATCACAAACCCCCGGAAGCTGGAGAGGGGCCTGGGACAGGTTCTCGGTCATGGCCTCTGAAGGAACCAACCTCACCACCACTGCCTCGACCTTCCAGGCTCCAGACTGTGAGGCTACACACTTCTGCTGTCTGTGGTGCTTTGCTAGGACAGTGTTTGCTAGCAAACTCATACAGGTGGCTTCTAGAAAGGAGAGCATTCTTTCCCCAGGAGACTCTAGGGTAGCAGCCGGAAAACAAAGGCCGTGTGAGTTTGAGAAGCTGTGAGCAGGGCGTGCACTTGGCTCATGTGGTCTGAGTGTATAGGGGTCACTATAAATCAGTTTTTCTACTTCTGAGAATATCCCTAAGTATTGCCGCTGTTGCTATTTAGTTGCTAAGTCGTGTCTGACTCTTTTGCGACCCCATAGACTGTCTGCCCACCAGGCTCCTCTATCCGTGGGATTTCCCAGGCAAGAATACTGGAGTGGGTTGCCATTTCCTTCACCCATGTCATCTTCCCGACCCAGGGATCGAACCCGGGTCCCTGCATGGCAGGCAGACTCTTTACCATCTGCGCCACCTGGGAAGCCCACACCTAAGTATACCAACTTATTAGAATATCTGAACTAAAACATTAAAAACAGTGCCTTTACGCAGAGCAATGAAGAGCAAACATCTAAAGTTGCAGAGGGTCTGCGGGACGGCTGGGTGCTGCGCTCAGCCAAACCTCTGCTTCTGTCGGGATGTCAGCCTCCTCGTTTTGTCCATACTGCAGCTCAGGGATCCCCAGATGCCGGGGTACACTCAGACCCATGGGTCTGAGGATGCTTTTGCTTCTTTTTACTTCCTGTCCCCTTTTAGCTACTAGAGGAAAATTCTCAAGGCCACGAAAAGACGCTTTTCTTTTCTTCCTTCCTTTTACTCCTCCCCTATGCGGGAGAAAAAGAGTCTGTGCCCCCCTGGGAGTCGGGAATGTTCAATTTCAGCAGCTGTTTTTCACCTACTAGCCCCTCACCCTCCCCTCTGTGTCCCAGAGCTGTTTCTGGCTGGAGCTGGAGGCTGGGGGTAATTTGTTTAAAGTGCTTTGAATCGAGTCTATAATTACCAGGCTAGCTGCCTTCATGACATTTAGTAACCTTCAACTTTTATAAACGGCCTTACTAAGACTGTTCTGAAATAGCCTATATTCCTTATGAAAAGTAGAACATTAGAAAGAGAAATTAAGCGGGGCTTTTGAATAGATGTAAATGGACTTCACGGCCTGGCTGCAGCAAGAGGACATGGACTTGACCTATTTACAGGTATTTGAGTTGCAGAAACAGGAAACAGGAGGGGCCGTCATTCAAATCCCTAGCTCCTCCCACCTCAGCCCGCTGGAGCGGTGGACCCTCCCAGAATCAGTGGTTCTCAAACTTGTTCATCCAGAGTAACCAGTGCTTGTTACAAAATAGCATGAAATATTGGTATTAATCAAAACAAGTCTCATTACTTATAATTTTCCGATGGGAACTGAGGAAAAAGCCTTCCTCCCATTTTAGGGAAAGGTTAATATGTGTATTTCCGAGAGGCAAATTTGGGAACCCTTGTTGCTGTTGTTTAGTTGCTAAGCTGTGTCCGACTCTTTGCAACCCTATGGACTGCAGCACACAAGCCTCTCCTGTCCTTCACCATCCCCCGGAGTTTGCTCAAACTCATGTCCACTGAGTTGGTGATGCCATCCAACCATCTCATCCTCTGTTGTTCCCTTCTCCTCTTGCCTTCAATCTTTCCCAGCATCAGGGTCATATATATATATATATAGATTATATATATGCTATATATTATAGCACATAATACAAAAAATAACATATATACTATAGTACAGGAAACTATACTCAATATAATATTGGAAAAGAGTCTGAAAAATAATATATATGTACA